AAAAAAAACTTCGCGACTCCAAAATCCAAATACAAGTACAAAATAAGTGACATAACAATCATCGATATTCATTTTATTGTTGCATTCACGATCGTCTAAGTTAAAACGACGATTACCTACAAGAACGTCAAATTTCGTAAGATGATCGTCAAATTCTGATTCTATTCCTCAACGATGAACCAAGAAGTGCCTTTTTTTTTTTTTTTTTTTTGAAAAAATCCTTCCGCTTCTCTGCAACAAAACTCCGAAAAACAAACTCAATCCTTCCATTTCCATGGCTTCCATTTTCCTTTTCTCTAGGCTAGTCCTTTGCTCTTTTCATTTAGAAGCAAAAATCTCTTTTGGAGTCTGATCTTCGTCTTCAACTGAGAAATGGACAGGCAGCAGAGGAATGGATGAGACCCAGATTTCTCCTCCTCCTTTTCATCGACCTCGGCACGGACTCACTGCTCAGCGGCGCAAGGCAGATCTGGGCGGTTGGGTTTCGTTTGCGGCGGCGTAAGGCAGATCTGGGTCGGAGAGAGAGAGGGGACCGGTTTGTTTTTTCAACTGAGAATTTGTCTGGGTTTTGCTGGGCATTAGGAGTTGGGTGGGAAAGAAACCCACGACATATTTTACGAGGTAGGAGTAGGACAGAAGAAGATGTAGAGGAGAGAGAAAGAGGTTTTAATATTAATTTGTTTATTCCACTATCTTAACCGACAGAGCAAATTGTCCTTTTTTCTTTTTACTTGTTTATTTTAGTTAAATTTGGACCAATAGATTTGATCAAACGACCACCTTTTTCACTGTACAGCAGAATCATATCCTATTTTATTTTGTGTGAAAGGCTTAACATTTTTTGTTCCTCTTTGTCCCTTTAAAGGATAGTAAATAAAGACCAACAAAATTCAGAGAACCTTTTTATGTTTGTCTGTTTGCCATTTGCGGCAGTAAATACATTTGTCCATTTATTACTCTTCAGCTGCTTATTACAGCAAAAGAAACATGTATTTGTTTATTTTTTCTATTACTAAATCCAGAAACCTAAAGCTGATTCTTTAAAAAACTGATTCCTGCAACATTTTCTTATATATTCAAGTTTGAAGCAGTTGCATTAATACTACTTAATTTATTAATAAGCTTCTTTAATTAGCATTTGAGTCTGTAGAACTTTAAAGCACTAATCTGGTTTGCGGTGTCCATCATTCTAGTTTTATATAATATTCTCCATTATGATATTTTGAGTGCGTTTGAAATAATTTTTTAGTTATTTTTAAAAATATTTTTTCACGTCTTTTGAGGTATAAAAATAAAAACGATTTACAAATCACGTTTGTTTAATAAAAATTTTAAAATAAAAAATAAAAATAAAAATAATGAGAATAATTTTTGTGAAGAAAATAGAAAACGATTGAAAGTGTTTTTCATTTTTCATTTTCATTTTCTAGTACTTATCAACAATGTTATATTAAATAAATAATTATTAATTACTAATTATATTATATATTAATTAATAATGAATAAATAGATAGTAATTACTTAATTATTAATTAAATATTAATTTATTACTATTAAGTTTCTTATTTTATTAATAAAATAATAAATAATATAGTAATTAATTATTTAATTAAAGATTAATTGCCAAAAATTAATTATATAACATATTAACAATAAAACAAGTAATAATAGGTTATTAAATAAATAATTAATAATTACATGTGATATATCAAATAATAGATTATTAAATAAACATTAGTAATTAATTAACTAATTATTTAATTCTGTAACTAAAAGTTAATAATTTAAGTAGTAAACGGAATATTAATAAATTATGTATATACTAATTATTTTTCTTAATACACTAATTAATTACTTATAATCTAATAAATATAGTATAGTACTTATAATAAATTATTAATTACTATTTTTTAATTATTTAACATATTAATTTATTCTATATATAGTTTGATTACTAATGTACTCATTAATGATAATTTATCTATTATTAATTTCTATTTACTAAATAATTATCAATTATTAATTACTTAATATATTAATTTAAGATTATTAATTACATGTGCTCAAAACAAACATAAATGTAACCAAACACGATTTCACATTTTTATCATACTCAAACCAATATCTTAAAAGACTACCAAATCGGTTTTATAATAATTTTCAAAACAATCTCATTTTTTATTTTATACCAAAAATAAAACCATTTTGAAAACATTATCAAACGAGCCCTCTATGTTTTTGTTGAGAATAGTGTCCTAGAAGCATGAGATGTAATAGGATATTTATTATTTAATGAATAAAAAGAGTTTATTCATCATTTTATGTGCATATATTTATGAATATTTTATGAATATCAAATTAAAATTCCGTGATTATTTATGTAACCTTAAACATAGTATATAAGTGTTATATACAAGAGGATAGTGTTTAAGGATAATAATCAAAAACATTGTTCATGATGAATTTAATTAAAGTTCAGAATCTTTAATTAAAACATTATTAATACATGTCATTCCCATTTAGAATGGAACGGTGTTATCTGCACTGTTAATATGGCGAGATATTGAATGAGTGTATTTCACATAATAAGATTATGTGGAACAGGGACACAGACACAATATGAATTTCTAATAATTTCCGTTAAGCATAGAAATTCTAATTGAGTCTACCGATGGTCATATATAGGATGATCTTAATCCTGAGTTCTTAACAAACTCCTATTTATAGATTTATGTCTTTTGATTTACTCGGTATGGATTCTGAGACCCTGAATCCTATTCCTTGTATGTTGGAGACACAATGAAATAGGTAGCTGTGAATGTTATTATACGAGATGGAATCCATTCCTTCTTGAGAAAGAAGTAGATAAATAATTCTCTTGAGTGTTGATTCGGTACTTGGATTAGTAAGAGCGCTCTGGTTCATGAATGTGTTTTATGAATCACTATCCATTAGAGAATCAATGGTACTCA